TTCTCATCTCTGATTTTATAATTTTTATACACTAACAATGATTCTTAGTTGCTTCAGTATCAGAGATCATTCTAATTAAAGATAATCACACTGCTGAGACTACTCTCTTTCACTCTCAAGCTTCATCTATCACTTTCTCTTTCTTCTCTGCAGAGAAGATTGTATATACATCAGATTATAAATGTTCAGTCTCAGATAACTCTCATTATTATTCATTCAGTTCTGTATTCTCTTTCTCTTTCATTTCTTCTATCTTCATTCTCTCTGTCTTGACTTCTAGTTCTGTGAGTTCTACACTCTTCTTCAATTTTTCTACACACATATATACACATTTCTATATTGGCATTCCAGTCAATCTTGTGATAAATGACATTAATGTTGTATACAGAGTGATAGAGAAATCAGAGATATATATGATATTATTATAAGAGCAGCTTACAGCTCTTGAATTTCTTACAGATCTCAAGTTTTGAGATTTTCTTTATTTTTAATATTTTTTTAAGTGATTTGATGTTGAAAATAGATTAAATATATAATATATGAAAATGAATAAGATATATATAATAACATTTATCTTTTTACAGCTGATTCTTACAGTTGATAACTAATTCATTATCTCTTTTCTTTTCTTACACTTTTTTTTTGTCTGTTAGTCACTACTCTTATACAATCTTTATAAAATACAGTGTTCAGTGACTAGATTCAGTAACTTTCATCTTTTATAATTCTGTCTTATATATTTTACTATCTCTCTTCACCTGCTCAGATCACTACAGTGAATAACTTATCAAAACTAATCTCACTCAATCTTTGAGTGTTCTCAGAGATTGAGATGACTTGATCTTATATATCTGCAGATGTTTCAGATGATTCATCCTCTGTTATCTTCATGATTAAACTGATGTAAACAGTTAAACTCAACTCTGAATCTCTTTTTCTTCTGTGATCTGACTCATGTGTAAGTCTGCTGCTTTGAGACTGCTCTTTATCACATTGTACTCACTGTCTGTGACATATTATCATACAATCAGCTACAGTCTCATCACTTATTAAAGTGTAACATTCATCTGATTTCTTCATTTCTTTTCATTCTTTTCTTATAATTATAGAAAGATCAGAATAAGTAAGATCATCTGATTCATAAGTATTAATAATTTCTCTTACTTTGTAAGACTTTTCAATTATAAGTCTCTTCTTTTTCAACACTGATGATAGTGCTGTAGATAATTATAATTCACTCAGATCTTATATCTTTACTTTCATAAGATATGAATCATTTATTAAGTTATATAAGATCTGTCCCTCTGATTCTTTCAATACATATATTCTCAGAGAATGTGATTTAAGTATTTTATATAGCTCAAATCATCTAGATTGAAACTTCTCAGAACTCTCATTATATATAAGAACTTACATTCTCATCTTGAGACTTGATTTCTTAACTAGTGAGTCTTGTATTCTTTTCAATTGAATTGCTTAGTTCAGAAGTAACTTATTAGCTTTTACATGTATGTGACTGATCTCTTTCAATCTTGATTCTGCATCTGTGACTGCTGCATCTGTGACTGTTATATCTGTAATTAACTGATGTATCTGCAATCACTGTTCTCTCTCTCACCTTTTTCAAAGCATTCTTCAGAATTCGCGGATGCAATTCATACAACAGATAGAATGATGAACATTTGAAGACTGTATACTGTCAAATCTGTGTGACTAATAGTGCCTGCTTGAGATATTCATTTCATAGTCTCATAGACTTACTCACTAGATATTTCATCAGCATGTTATTCAAGATTTCATTCAAGTGTTTCATCTTTCTATTTATTCATAAGTGATATAATATTGTTCTACAATGTCTTGTCTGTAACTGGCTTATGAAATGCCTTATCACTTCTTCTATAAGATTCATATCATTATCAGTTAGAATCTCACACAGCATTTCATAGTTAATATAGATCTCATTATATAGAAACTTCATCATCATCTTCTCTGTCATCTCTGAAACTGCTTTTGCAACTGGCCAGCCAGTAGTGTAATCAATAGCAGTGATTATTCATTGATTTTCATTTAATATTTGTAATAATATGTTCATGAGATTCACTCTTCATTATTTAAATAATTATATCATACACTTTATCTGATGTTGTACTTTCTCACATTCTAATTCTTTCTTAGATTCTTTCATGACCTGATAATTCAGACACTTGTGAGCATATATCTGAATGTTCTCAGTCATGCTTGACCAGTATACTCTTGATTCAAGTACACTTATGAGTTCAGAGCTTTCTAAGTGACTGAATTTCTTATGCATGTAAGTCACTAAGTTATATCTAAATGAATATTCTAGATAGAGAGCTTCTGTATATTCTAGATCATGATAAAGCATAACATTGTTTTTCAATTTTCTCAGCTTGAAGTTCAGAAGCATCTCTTCTATCACTTTTATAAGATGCTTATTATCTGATATCTTACTATTTTTTAAGTGAGAGATTATTGTATTCACTTATTCTGATTTCTTGCATTCTCTCAGTATATTTAACATGAACTTCTCTTATATCTGATTCACAGAATTCTCACTTATAAAATCAGATCTGTAACTGATTACATCAGATATCACAGTATTCAATTTCTTTCAGTATTTGATATGAAGATTATACACTTGAAACTTCAAGATTCAACATACTAAGCATTTAAAAGGTTTTATCATCAATTATAGATAGATGAGGCTTTCATAATTCATGATTATCATTGTCATATGCTTATTATTGATATATCTATTTCATAATACTAACACATGCTTAATCACTAGCAATTTCTTTTCATACACTGAGTAATTGAGCTTAGCACTCAATAGTTTTCTATCATTATATATCACTGAGTGCAGCTTGCTGTTCTTACTCATCTGTAAAAGAGCATCTTCAATAGCTCATTCAGATACATTTATCTCAATATAGAAAAGTTTATCATGATGTGATTAAATAAGCACTGAGAATAGTATTATATATTCTCTTAGTGTGAGAAAAGTCTCTTCACACACAGTATTCTAGATAATTAACTGAAACTTCTTCTTTCACAGATTAGCATCTATTTTTCTTAAGAGATCTGAGAGTGATATAGCTATTCATGTGAAATTCTTGATGAATCTGTGATAATATGAGATCAACTCAAGAAACTGTTATACATGATATATATTTCTCAGCTGTGATCAATTCACTATGACATTCAATTTCTCTAAGATGAGATGTATACAGTTATCACTTACTATATATTCTATAAACTTCAACTCTTCTGTTTCAAACACACACTTTGTTAATTTAATATAGAGCTTATACTCTGTTAGAGTTGTAAGCACTTCATTAAGATGCTTCAGATATTCATTATATGAGTTTGAAAAGACTAGAATGTTATTGAGATATATGAGACATGAGGTTTCATTCTGTTTATAAAGAATTGTATTCATCATTATTTGAAAGATGACAGACACATTTATCAGACTTAATGATATTATCAGGAATTTGAACTTCTCTCATTGTATATTAAATGCAGTTTGTGAGACTGACAGTTCATCTACACAGATCTGTCAGTATTCTGAAAGAAGATTAATCTTCAATAGATATTAAGTGTTTTCAATTATATTCAACTGTTGTTAAATCTATGATAGTGAATATTCATTCTTGATTATAAGCTTATTGAGTGCTTGATAATTGATACACATTCATTACTTCTTATTCATCTTTTTCATGAATAGAACTGAAAAGCCTCACACACTTGATGAGAGTTGTATCATACAACTTGTATGAGATCACATTCTAGAAGGTCAACATACTAAGCACAGAGAAAAGATCAACCGCTCCACCACGAACTCGCTCGATTTTTCGAATAAGAACCCGCCGATAGATCCATCGAAAAGCCCTCGATCATACGAGCATTTTGACCCCATCGCCGACCGCATACCCCGTGTGGTGGTGGAGTTATCCAGCCAAATGTGAACCAGACGTCGTTCGAAACTCCTGTGTGGGATTATCCCCCATTCTCCCCTACCACACCACAACCCCGGGCCAAATTGCCATACAAATTGTAAGGTGAAGAGACCTAGCCATATGCACCAATCTTCTCGATTTTGGAAGATCCCTGATCTGTAGTTGTGGAGATATCTGAGAAGCGACCTCCGCGAAAACCCTGTTCATCTTTGATGTTCCAAAACACCAACGCCAAGTCCCACCCTTGTACCGCCCTTCCTAATCTGGCCCATCCCCAGCAGAAAAATACAAAAAGATACCTCAGTGATAATATCAAGCACATAATCAACAGCCACTTCTGAAGTGCAACCTCTGCAGTCTGTCTTCAGTGTATCTAGACATCAATGCCAAGTCTCACCCTTGTATCACCCCTCTCAATCTGGCTCATCCCTGACAGAAAAGTACAAAAAGATACCTCAGCAACTGTACTTGATACATAATTGACAGACACAATAACTATAAAATCAGTATATCTCAAGATCTGACTGAGCCTTTGATCCCTGCACAGTGAGATATATTAAATCTAGTTTTAATATCTCAATATTCAATAGATTCTGCAAGAGATTGAGAACAGCAATACTAGATTTCTATTAAATTTGAGAATTAACTCTATATTGATATAATCATTGACAAAGTCTTCTATTTTGAGATATAAATAACCAGTTTCTCTACATCCTGCTGATAATATTTACATTATTATATAGAAATAGACTTATATTCTCTATAATATCAAGACTCTGAAGAGAGAAAGTCTTGATAGAGAGTATACAGTAGTGTATATCTTAGCAGTTTCTATCTCATTCTTCTGCAGCAGTTAATGCAAAAAAAAAAAAAAAGATCTTAGAAATAGTTTTTTACTTCTCTTGAAAAAGTAAGATGTTTTTCTCTGAGTTTTATACAATATTCTTATAAAGAATTAAAAATAGAGTTGTTTTCTGTCATAATTTCATATTCTTTTAAGTAAGAATTACTTTTTCAGTGACTGAAGAGCTTTTATTAATACTTAATTCTTTTTTACACTCTTTATTAACTGATTTGAGTTGCACACTTATTGTGTGAGAAGAATTGAATAATTTAGAATAAAATTGAATAGTTTTAATCAATTTCTCTGCAAAAAATTGATTTATTTTTTATCAGTTTTTCTCTTAAAAACTGTTATATTAT